TGGCTCCATAACATGTACCAGGTTTGATATTCGGAACAACATTTTTGGCCTCATATCAGGAAAGAGATTTCAAAAAATTCAACATAACTGATTTGGTAGTCCTTAAAGAAAGATGGCTGCCATAAAAATACACTAAGACTACTTATTTAATATTCAAAGAAATGTTAAAAAACGGCGAAGAAACAGGCTATGAACATTTGAAAGGGCTGTTTGTTTGTATGACTATTCATCGTTAAATTATAGCCCGAACTGAATATGTTTGGCAGTGAAACAATACACGAAATATATGTAATTGGTTATAAACAGTGTTTCCAAAAAGATAATAACTAAAAGATCACCCTTTATAATTGTAAAAATATGTAATGACAGTGTGTAATAAAACTTCAGAATTTCCTCTAACCATTTCTGGAAACTTTATAAAAATCGGTTTAGTAGTTGCCGAGATATTTGTATTTCAATTCAACGATGGCACGAAATACACCTCCTGCTCAATTCTGGTCACCTATTACCTGAAAATGAAAAACCACACAAAAATCGGTCTTTTAAAAAAGGCAAAATTTGTTTTCGTAATGTCTGCGGTTGTATGAAAATTATAGCATACTTGTAGGGGCAAATGGCAGTTCGAGGTGCAATTTTTTGTTGCTTGTTATATAGGTGTGATTGTATGTGATTTATGCACATATGCAATGTAAAATATATTTACTTGCACATACACACACTGAAGCTGTACGGAGAAAAAATTTCCATTTTTGCAAGATCGATTTTTGTGGTGTTTTCCATTTTTTGGTAACAGGCGCCCATCATCGAACAGAAAGTATATTTCGAAGCATTGTAGAATTTAAATTCGAATAACTCCGGAAATACTTAACCGATTTTTATGAATTTTGCAGCTATGGTTGGAGGGAATTCTGCAGTTTTATTTCACAATGACTTTATATATTTATTACAGCTATAAAGGTGATTTTTTAGCAGTTATATATTTGGCAACACTATTTTTAACAGTTTACACACATCTAGTGTTTTGCTTTTTTTTAAACATCTTCAGTTTGGTCCATAATTTAACGATGAATCGTCATACAAACGATCAACGCTTTCAAATCAGTGAATTTCATAACTAAAATGCGTTCTTTGTTAAAAAAGTTCATTAGGCGTTTCTTCAATTTTATTGCTGTATTAACGATCCATTGAAGCGGCTATTTTTTATTCCATTTCATATAGATATATGCCGATTTCAATTTCCTTTACGACCATACAATTTGGCGAACGGAGAGCCATATATTGATGCCGTAACTGGAAATTTCATAAATGTAGAATTTAATATCCTGGTTTTTGTCTCATAATTTTGGAACTACTGCAGGTATTGTAATAAAATTGATGTCATATCAAAGGTAGGAAGTCTGACTATTTCGTAATCTATTCAAAATTTAAAAAATGTGAAATGTTTTATTTATTATGTAGGAGGATAAATTTGTATGTTGTGGCCTTACAAAAGTTTTCAAAATACAATTTGCCGATTCTATGTCAAAGACCAATATTTATCCTTTTATTTGTGTTAATAGAGCTAGGTACAGGTAACGTCTTACAGACACCAAAAGATGGCGCGGACGATGGGTTTATAAAAATTGCATATCTCATTTAATTTTGCTATAACTTTCTTCGTATTGCCGATATTAAAATGAAAGTGGTGTCATGTGAAAGGTATAATCGTATAATTTCTTTTGAAATAAAATTACAAAATTAGTTGAATTTTAATATGAAATTGGAGTTTCAAAGTTGGGCTTAAAATACTTTACTTTGTATTGGGATGCACAAGAAGGAGGTAACCGATATTCCCCATTATCGAACTTGATTTAAGTGAGGAAGAAATATTACAGTATGCAATAGGTTAATTCCTTCAAAAGCTATTTCGCACACCAGTCAGACAGACGGACAATTATAAAGCTTCTCCAAATTTTGTGAAGCGGATTTTGTCCAAAAAACCTGGGGTCTAAAATTAATATTTCGATGGGATAGTGTATATACCCTCATATATATATATATATATATATATATACACTTGAATCAAATTTAGTACCATTTAGTACTTTTCGTACACATAAGTGCGATTTTTTAAAGCTACCTCAGTGATTTCTATTGTAATTTATTAAATAATATAACAGCCAATTAATTATTTTATTTTTGATATACATATATTATCATATAGTCCACCCACTTTGTAATGTAACCCACAATTATTAAAATGTTTTCATACATATCCTATGGTTATGACATCCCGTCAAAAAAAAAGAACCAACATTAAAAAAACGCCATTTATGACGAGTTATTGGCTCATAGGCCATTAGCATATAAATATAAGGTGATTATATGAATTATATTCCAATTATAATTAACACACCAGCATTGAAATGTTGATGTGTGCATGGGTGTATGGTTGTGTAATTTTTAAAATTTGTTGTAATTGCCATAACGAAAATTGCAAATATTTATTCCCTAGAAATATAATTGATATCGTTAATCCAATTAAAAAATAAAATACATAAATACATACATACATAAAATACTGTTGTATGTATGTATGTATGTATATGTATTTGAAATGTCAAATTAGCACATCGCATTGCCTTATTGACATTGACAAGATATAAAAAGTGAAATAATACCTTAAAGCACATCTCTATTGGAAAAATAATTTTTAGGCAGGGATATTCAGTTTAATTTTTATTATTAAAAATTAAACTGAATAAAGCATATAGTGAAATAATTAGCCGTTCCAATTTTCATCAATGTACGACTTTCAAGTAAAAAGAAAAAAAATGGTTTTATGAATATTTACTATACGTCCATGTTTTCTCATAATCCTCCAAAAATGTCCTGCACGGTTTGACGAATTTTAATATCCTATCATTTCTAATTTTCAAAGGAAAATTCCTCCTGACTTTCGGTTTTGACGTGGTCCTTATATGGTGCTACGACCGATGCTGGAATTAATTTTCATTTTCCTAAAATGGAGGGTATATCAAATTTGTATTTCCCTTTGAAACACATCGACATATTCACAAGTAAATATCGCTAAAACGAAATATCGATTTTTCTGAAATGTTCTGAAAAAATACAATTCAACTTACAAAATCAAAAGTGGTTTCATGCCAAAAAGCTCATTTTTCGTTTTCTGCTCGATCTAAATACAGATTAATTTCCACTTTCGGTCGGAATTCATTACTGTGACATGCCTGTTTATTGTATTCTTAACTAGATGCAAAATGCAATATAGATCTCGTAATATTTATGATAGAACTAAGAAATATTAAACACACATTGATATTACTCGTTTGTGTCTAATATTGAATATTGAATTTTTCGGTCCGTTATGTTATGATATAGGCCCCATATAACGCATCACCTAACATTCGGTATTTTAGGAATTTTTAGCTCGTTTTCAACCGTGATTTGGTTTTTTGAGTATACTTTGCATATCAAATCTTCTTACTGTAAATATTCAATAATTGTTGACTTTTCCCGAAAGCCTCTGTATATCGGTTCCTCCCAAATTTCGGTATTGTTGGGGAGTATTGATATATTTTTCAAGAGAATTGACTGTAATTTGTTTTTTTTTCCACAATCTTTCTGCTCCATACTCTCGAAACAGTACAGGTTATTGTTTGGTAATTTGGCTGTAATTTAGTTGTCATTCTGTGTCAAATCTTCCTTCAAAATTTTACCAATGAACTGCTCGCAATATATGTACAGTTACCGAACTATATATAAAAAAGTTACGCCCGCCCGCCCGAAATAAACGAAGTTTTAACTCATTTCTTTTTCTTTTACTTGGCTCTTTACTTTTTTAACATGTCCTTTATTTTTATTATTCATACATTCATTGATTAACATATAAACTAAACAAAGAGAATTTACAATAATTATTAATCGACAATACAGTAGTTATAAATACAAATTCGTACATTTAATAGTTAAGTTAGTAAACAATAATATTGTCATTAAAAATACATTAAACAGTGGTCGTGCTGTTGTAGTTACTTGCAAAACTGTCGGTCGGTGTGTGTGTGTGTGTGTGGGTATACGTTTTAAAATGTTAACAAATTATTTGAAGGTGAATTTATTATTACAAACTAAAAAGATAGCACATATTGCATTTCAATTAAGTGAGTTAACTACAGAAAACAAAAATATGGGAAAAAAATAAAACGGCAGAAACAAAGAACGGAAAGTATAGGGGAAGTTTACAGTATTTTTCATTAACGTTTTTAAAATTATAGCAAAATATATATTTTTCATATTGATCCTGAAAACAAGTTTTGTCATTTCTATGTGGTTTTTCTAGTTTTTCTAGTTGTGAATGACATCAAATAAAAATTAACATTTCAAAGACAAATAAACAAAAATCTTGAGATTGTGATTCATTTAAAATTAATTACAAATTGTTTAAATAATAGTTGGATTTAATTATTTGTCGCTTTGCATGTGTATGGGTGTGAACTAATTTGCATATAGTTATTACTATTATTTATTTTATTTATTTTTTTTTTCTTTTTGCAATTTTATGGACATATAGTGTCTTTTGGCTATGGGTGTTAAGTAATAAGTCTAGGTGTAGTGGCATGTGTGTTTCATATTGGGGCTAGCGGGTCAACTTCTATTTCATTGTATCAACTTAGCCCGAGTTGTTTAATTTACACGTTAACATATATTTATGTTGGACCCTTTATTGTTATTTAATTTTAAGCAAAATTAATTAACTTAAAACTACAAATCAAAATAAAATATTAAAAGCAAACAAAAAAAAAATTAAAAATATTTATATATAGAAAAATAAACATGTCTCTTTAAGCTTATACATATGTCTCTATGTATATATCTTTTATATAGAATGGTTATTCACAACAATTTCATTCCATTGTTTTCTTTCCTTTTTCCTGATTTCCTTTCTGTTGTTGTTATTGTAGTTTTGCGCTTTATTGGATTTTTGTTTCCTTCTCGTCGGTTTATGAATAGAAGGTCAAAACACTGGTCTGATTGCCACGCACAAACAGGAACGGTGGCATATCACGACTTAAACTTTCCAACCAGGCCATATACAGGGGAGCTGTCACAATATTTTTCCTTGGCATGGGCAATGTCATTACAACCAAATCGGATTTTGTCGATTGCTCTCGTAAATATTCACGTAAACGTAAATAGCGATTTGTCTTATCCTGTACGGCCATCATGTCATCCTCGGTAATGGCAACTACAATGACGATAAAAATACAACAATAACAATAAATGAATTAATATGTCAGTGAGAGCAGCAGCTACAGCAACAATAAAAAGAAAGGCCAAAATTTATGGCTAACTAACGGCAAGTAGCAAATAAAATGATTTTAATTCGATGGAATAAATTTGAAGATCAATCCAGCCGTGGAAGATAATTGACAAAGTTTATGAGATATTCCCCTGGAGTACGATTTTATTATAACATATAAATTTATTGCGAAATAAATAATAAAACTATTATATAGGTATTTTAGAAATTCTATTTTTTGAAGGACGGTTTAAGATATAGGATATTATTAAATGATTCCCTGAGCCATAAGAGTAGATATTTAGAAGATACTAAGGGAATTGATGAGGATCAGTGGCGAGATCCGAAACTATAGCCTCTTGGTGGACAATGCCATACTTTCCCTATTAATAAATAGATGTTTTTATAAAAAAAACTGAGATTCATCCTAACTATTTAGCAAAAACAAAATAGAAATGGTATCCCAAATAACCCGCCAACTCTACTAATTTAAAAAGAAAAACATTTTCAAGTACCTACTATCTAAATATTTTTGCATAATATCAAATTTTGCAAATATATTTTAAAATCCTATTTTGAAGAAGTTTGAAATTTTTTTGCAGAACTATTAATATGTGACAATCTGTGGCTTTACTATGAATGAGTATTTTTTCCCCCATGAAATTTCAAATCAGTTGAATAGCTTCCCTATTTAATTGTATATTTAGCATAAACTGTGGTTTCTTCTTTTCTATCTAAAATCTACAATTAAATTCCTAAGTAAAATTCTTTTCATCCATTCATTAAAAATTCCGTTGTTTTTCCAATGAATCCCATCACACTAAGTAGCCCTAAATGGCTTTATTTTAAACTTCAATGATTGTTTGAGCTAAACCAAAACATTGGTTTTCAAGTTTTATTGTGGCACTCACCCTCGTCCTCTTGCAGTTGTACATTTGTATCCTTTTCAGCAACAACAAAGTCCTTAATTAAATCGTTAAAGAACTGTGTCGATGATTCTTGTGGTTTTTTGGTAATGTCAGGAATCAATTGCAAATCCGAATAATCAATACGGAATTTAGACAATAGACTGGCCATGGAACGTTGTTCAAATTCCAATTCTGCTTTTTTGTTAGCTAAGGCATAAACTCTGAAAAGAGAGAGAGAAAAAAGAAAAATAACAATTTTAAAATGGAAAAATCTTTTTGGATAGATATCAATGTCGAGAATAGGAATGTTTGGAAAATAATTGTACTTGGAATTACAAGGCAATTTAAAGTTTCAAATATAATATTTAGTTTGAGATTTCCATGGAAAATTTACCATTCATCATGGCTGAATATGAATTCACATAGAAAATAACAATTCATAGGAAGTAGATATATTCAGCCTGACTAAAAAAAAAAAAAAAGATTTTCAAGAGGAATTAAAGCAACAACTGAATACCGTATGACTTTAATTATTCCGCCAAGCTGAATAGAGCCTTTTAAAGGGAATTTCCTATTCAGTTCGACTGAAGGCCAATGGAAAATTCTTATACAGCCTACATTGATGGATATTTATATATGAAATTTAGAATGGATAAATTTATATCTCCAAATTGTCTGCATATAAATTACTATTCAGATAGGCTGAATAAGATTTTCCTTGGAAGATTAATATTTAGTCAAATTAATAAAGCATTTTCACACTATTCAGTCAGGCTAAATAGAGACATTCAGCCAGATTAAAACAGATTTTCAAAAGGAATCTACAATTGATTTCTCAGTCGACAATATTCTACTCAGCATGGACAAATAATAGAATACTGAATAGAGACTTCCATTGGAAATTGACTATTCAGTTTGACTGAAGACCATTGAAAAATTCCTATACAGCGTAGATGAATGGATATTTTTACGAAAATTAGTAGCATGGATGCATTTTTATTTCCACCATGTTTGAATATAGACTTCCGTATGAAATTTACTATTGAACTTGGCTGAATGTGGCTGAATTTCCATAAGAAAAATAAATTCTAAATCTTTTATGGAAATTTATTTTTCAACCAAGCTGAATATAATTTAAAATCCCAGAATAGTTAAATGTAGCAAAAATGTATATTCTTACCTTAATTTACATGACTGCCATGTACGACGCGTACTTATAATATAGGGCAACAGAAGGGTAAGACCACCATCGTCGTATAACCACCAAACATCAATCACAGCGTGACTGCGTTTTCTGGTGAATTGTGACAATTCATTCAAAACTTCTTTGGGCAATTCAACGCCACCGGGACCCTTGTAGAGAGCAGCGGGATCATCGTGTTTTGTTTTCGATTTACGCAAAGAATTTGTCTGTAAATAAAAAAACAACAACAAAAATCGTTGTGGTGACACACACGCACACACACTATTCACATCAGACAAACGAACTTACCAAAAGAGGAGCCGTTTTGGGATCAGCAGGATCCGGTAAGCCAGATACTTCTTTACTTTGGGTGCCGGCAACAAACGATAAATCACTGGTGCTGGAGGCTATTGTATTTTTTTGTTTAACGAACAAAAGACAAAGAATAAAGTTTTGTATTTTTTAGTAAACAAATTAATTAGTATCGATGTTGTTAATGACAGACTAAAGAAAAAAATACACAAACAAAATTATACAAAGGTCGTGCATCATTAATATGTGCAGAATGTTTTGAGTTGTTGTCCTTTTTATGCGGCCCAAATTACAAAGAGACAATTTTAATATTATGCTTCGTCCCAAAGGACCACAGCAAGAGTCATGCATCAATGGAAACTAACTTTTCCAATAATCATAATAATAACACTAATACAAATGCAATCAAGGACCTCACGTACTTAAGGGTCAAATATACACTTAACCTCATTGTCTGTCTATTATCTCGATTAAGCGATAAATTTTGTGATAATAATTTATTATCGTCCAGAGGCATTCAACTGGTAGCAGCAATGACTGGTAAGAGACGAAAGCTTATAAATTCTTTAAAAAAACTGTTATCTCATTTCTTGGTAAAAAAAAACATTCCATGGCCATCGCAAGTGCTTCTAATTGGCCACCTCCACATGGACTTGGTTTGACCGACAAAACTGTTAACTTTCATAGGTCATTGAAAGTTATCATCTTGATACTGTCGACCGACAAAGTACATGGATGAAGTTTCAGCACAGTTGTTTTGCTGTGGTCATTGAACACACACTTTGAGGTAGCCCAAATGGGACATTCAACTTTAAATATGGACTATGGCTGGCTCATCTTATCCTAGGCATATTAAGTTGAAGTACACTTTAAAAGTCACAAGAGTTTAGAAGAATGTGTATATTGTTGTTGCTGCTGCTATTGTTGTTCTGGTATATTTCTCAGAAAAAACACACTATTTGTGATAAAATGTTATAGAAAGTAATGTAGACAGTTCATGGTGTATATAGTGTCTCGGTGTGTGTTCTTATTAATTTAGAGTGTGGAAACACGTGTCCAGCACAAATGCTATTAGTCGTAGTTTGTGTGTGGTTACTCAAAAAGGACCCACATATGCCGAAACCCCACAAAGAAATTCATGAAATAAAAGAAAATATTTTCCTGGGGTATAAAAGAAATGTCGGAGACTTAAAAAGAAGCAAAACTAATAACTAAAAGCAATATTAAAAATCATCTGGTGGGAATTGCGAAAAAAAATTATCGGTCGATTTTGCTGACATTTCATACGTATATGTTCACCCTGACCATACGTGTTTATACACATTACAATTTTCGGAGACCTCATAAATTAAATTTGTCATTCTGTTTTAAACGTTGACATGCACTCTTCGGAGACCTCATAAAGTATAGATTTTTAATCCGAGTGAAATTTTGATTTAGGCGTGTGCCGTTTTCCTTTGAATTTCCCATATGTTTCATGTTCTTGAGGGGTAAAATACATATCCCACATATTAATATGCCAACCGATTTTTGGTATTTGAATGGTCCTTGATTATATCTATAATTTGGCATTTAGGGTTTTGAAAAGATTCTGTTGGGAACATCAATAAATGGTCTTCGTAGATCTAAAAAAAAAAATAATAAATTTTTAATCGGAGTGAAATTTTGATTTAGCCACTCCCTTTGTCCATTGAATTTTCCATATGTTTCTGGTTCTTGAGGGGTAAAAGGCAAATCCCACATATCAATTTTTGGTATTTTAATGATCCTTGATTATAATGTGTCTATAATTTAGAATTTAGGTTTCTGAAAAGATAATACCCTACAAGAAGAAAATTTCAAATATGGGTCCATTTTTGGCATCGACGCCACATAAGTCAAACCCAATTTATCTTTAATTTTAGAGTATAATATCTCTCATGCAATAATCCCGCTTCATTCTAGTAATTTCGATGGTCTTAGCCGCCTCAAAATTTCTTCTGTCGGGAAATCTTTAATATCTCAAATTTAAGCCATTTTGAGTCGAATGTCTTAGATCGTTATTATTTATAATCAATGAATAAAATATTACGATATGCTAACATTGTTTTACACCGATAACCATATTGGGACGTAGTCTTTCGCGCCTACCAGGTAGAACGACATGGCTAAAACGAATTTACAATTTTTGTTATAAGGCTGAGGCTATTGAATGGGCTCGCCTCGGTAATATGTTGGTAAAGCAAATAGTAAATGTGAACGAAATTGATTTAACCATATCTCATCCGCCGTATTTTAAGGACGAATTCCTGAAACAAACATTAACAGAACTTTGGAGGGCTTTGGTGCGACATTTGCATAAAATCGGACGAAACTATTTATGAGCTCCATCCTTGGACCAAATAAGACGAATGTGCACAATTTCATCGAATTTGGATGATATATGCGGTTTGTACTCTGTTGACAAATTAACATGGTCAGACAGGTAGACAGACGGATAAACGAACGGACATAAAACGACCGAGAAACAGAATCTGTGCATGTTCTCAAAAGTAACAGAATTATTGATCTGCCCTCGTAAAGGATACCATTTGTTTCTGTAAATCAAATAGTTAAAGAAATCATTATCCCAATATAAAATCGTTATTACAAAATGCCTTTTTTCAAAATGATGATTACTCCATGCCACACTAAAGCGTTTTATTTACCCCCTTTCTCTCTCACCAAAAGGTGGGCAAGTAAATGAAGTTGTAAACTATAAAAAACAAATCAATATCCTCAAACAATGAAAAGTAATAACAACGGTTAAACAAAAGAATCTATCCAACACCTAGAACGAACATCGATGTCTAGGAAACAATGACAAAATATTGAGAAAGTAATATAAAGAAAATTAAAAAAAAAATCATCAAGAAAATTGTTTTCCTTTTTTTCTTAAGAAGCTTGTAATTGTTGCTATAAAATAAAAAAATAAAATGAAATGAAAACTCAAACAAAGACTGCAATAAAATAATAGATAGACAATTTCCAAGAAGGAAATCAGTTAGAAAACAATTTTGTTAAATGAGAAGAAAAAAAAAACACTTTTTTATGTTGAAGTACTCAATTTTTATTTGTCATGTTTTTTTTTCGAGTTTCTTGACCTTGCCATTTTCTTGCTACATCTAATATTTCAAGTTAAAATGAAATTAGCAAGGCATTTCTAATGGTCTGTAAACTTCATAAAAATGATTTCTTTGTACAAAATATAGAATATAATTTGAAAAGACGTTCAATTATTAAGTATTTACAATTAAATCAATACTATACTATATTACAATTAAAATCAATACTATGCTTTGTATTCACTTTGAAATTAGAGAAGAAGAAATATTTTCTTTTTCACTTTAGTTCAGCTTGCATAATCCACATATCTTTCAAAAATATCCATTAGATAAAACGTGTCGTCTATAACCCAGGTACAAATTAATCAGTTTTTTTCCTTCCATCCTAAACAACGAAGAATGATAATATCAGAAATATGATTCTAATACTATACCGCAGGTACGTCTAAAGATTCCGACAATTGAGTCGTCCTTGCCACACCATCATCTCCAAGAAACGTTGACATGATACGCATGTGTTTGCCTTTGACTTCCTCATTGTTCGCTTTGCATTGTTCTCGGGAGTCATATTCGTTACTAATTCCAATAAAAACAAACAAAAGAAATACCAAAGGATTTCACATGTCAAAAATATTGATATTTCGATGTTGTGACAAAGTCGATGTCAAACAGGACAAGAAAATTGACTACAGCAATTTGTCAGATGCATTGGAAGATGTTTTGTTAAGCGGAAGTTGAGTATTGGGGAAAATTAATATCCGGTGTTAAAGTCAGCCTTTGTTTGTATTTAGCAGAAGAGCACAAAGTTAAATTTTGTTGTTTACGAAAAATGTATTTATATAACAAGTCATGTATAATCAAATGCTATTGAGACAAATGCTATCCTTTCTTCTGGTACCTCCCACACGAAATATTCAATATTTGGTTTGTAATATAATGCGAACGGTCTATCCGATTTCAATCAAACTTTACACAACCTAATAATATAATTTCAGAAAACTAGCAATTTCTGTTATCATGGCAACTCTGTCAATTCCAATTATTTATGTATCTTTCAAAAGTTATAAAGAAACTAAAATACCTATTATTTTCTCCAGATTTGACAGCTCTGGCAAATACTTGCCTTCACAGCCGTTGTGAAATTTAAAATGCCAGTTTTTAATTTCATATAGGAAAAGTAAATCGATTAAAAAAGGGACATTCACAATGTTAACCCATCAATAGATGACGCTGCGGCAAAAAAATGGTCAGATTGTTAAATACTTGACAAATTCGTTTGTAAAATTCGATATATTTCCAGTTTTTTATGTTATATACACAAATTACAAAGTATCAGAAAACCTATGATGTGATCTGTCATTTATTCGCACATACCCAACTTGTTTTTACAACATAATTTGAAAAAAAAATATGTCTTCAAGTAAATAGATAGTCATGACCTCTGCTATAGAAGGTGATCGAAGAGAAACAAGCATAAAATTCTTTTCAACAAAGAAAATAAAATCCATTTGTTATTTATCATTTTTATAAGTCATACAATTGCTGACATACGAATTTTATTACATACATACATTCAAATTTCTGTTTTTTTATTACACGTGCAAGGAGATGACTTTTGTTGTCCAGAGGCTAGTGAGGTTAAAGGTTAAAATAATATAAATCTTGATAGGAATATGTACGAAAACACACAAAAATAACTGCTGACAAAAAATACACAACAACAAAAGTGAAAATTAAAAAAGGCTTTTGGAGCCAACTATTTGATGACAAACATCAGCACTTTGCAATAAAATAAATACCAAACCAGTGAGCGGAGCAGTATAGTCGGACAGGGCCGACCATATGATACCCTACACAACTTCCTAGAAAATCTCACTTTGTGTGGTTCTATAGTCTGAGTCTGGCTAATATTTCGCGATATTTGCACCCTCTTGACTGACTAGAGGTCAACAAATATTATTAATATTCAGTACAGTCCTTTTAATTACTTGTCCAGATTCCCTACACCGTGG